ATTCAACATGTACAAAACCATACTCACCACTCTAAACTGGTCCTCCTTTATATTTACTAATCCCAAAGAATAGCACTACTTTATACCCTAATGTATAAGCCATAGATACATGAATCATTTTTATTCCTCCATTTCTCTCACCCTGTATATATAATCTATTAGCAAGTAATTTAAATTCATCTGCTTCTCTCCATTCCATTACCACTTCCTTAGTTCAAGCCACCATCATCTCTTGCAATTACCTCCTAACTCATCAACCTTTTATAATTCTTGCACCCTTACAACAGCCACAGGGATGCTAATAAACATAAAAGGAACCATGTATTCTCCCTGCACCCTTTAGTGAATTCCTATTGTTCTTAGAATAAACTTTAAGGCCCTTTCCATGGCCATTGTGAGAGAAACTGGAAATTGCCTACTCAATGTTTTCCCCTTCTATAATAAAACCAATAAGTTTTTCTTAGGAATAGTGATAGGCTGAGTTGAAAATAAAACCTCCCCAAACTCCATGATAACTAGGGGTGGTCATCCAACCTAGTTCTGACCAATAAGAGGAGGAAAATTCTATGAGATAGGGGTTCCAGGAAAACTGTTTCTTTCTTGATGCAAAGAGACAGACTCAGCAGTCACATGTCTTTTGCTTTTTGCATTCTCCCCTGTTTCCTTGCCTGGAGGTCTAATAATCATCTTAGAAGCATGAAGAGAAAAGCCATGCTCAAAGGATTTTGGAACAAAAAGATGGAACTTGTGTGAGTTCTGGACTGCTGACATTGAAACTACATTATTTCAGAAAAATAAACTCCTTATTTTTGTTAAATTACCATAACTTGGTTTCTGTTACATGCAGCCAAAAACAGTCCTAATAGATACAATTGTGTGTGATATGGTTCCTTCCTCCTCTTCAGCTTTATCTCAAGCAATTTTTCTCCTCATTTGCTGCATTACAACTCTACCTTTACTCTTCAAACACAACCTCTTTTCTGCTTTAAGCTATTTTTATGTATTTTTCTCTCTGCCTGGAATAATCTTTTCCCCACCCTTCACCAGCTAACTTCTACTCATTATTCTGGTCTAAGCTTAAGGGACAGCTCCTCAGCATGGGCTTCTCTGACCTCCCCAATCCAAATTAGGTATTTTCATAGCACCTTGAACTTTTTCTTTTTAGTGTGTTTTATAAATTATGTTTTTTTATTTATTTACAAGATTTTCTCCCTTTAGTTTAACTTCCATTTCCCAAACTAGACTCTGAGCTCTATAATGTCAGGGACTATGTTTGTATTTTCCACTACTAAATATGTAACCAAACACTATAACAGTGCCTGCCACAGAGAGGGCACTGAATAAACAGTAGTAATAATGAATAATCCACTGAAATTTCATGGGCTTTGTGCCATTTTCCCTGCTCTCCTGAATCAAAACTAATCACTTCTCCCTTTATGCTTCTATGGCACATTGCTTTGATATCTATTTTAATTTAACCCTTTTAACAAATAAGGGATGTTTGAAAAGATCTCAAAATCTGTTGAAAAGGAAAACACATAAAACTAATTTTATAAAAAGTGTAATTTGGAGTATGAACAAGATACAAAAATAGAATATGGGAAAGGGTGATGAACTTAATGAAGTGGTAGAGATGAGACCAGGGAAGGGTTTCAGGAACTGGTACATCTAGGCAGCATTTGAAGGCTAAATGGGATTTCCCATGTAGACAACAGGAGGAAGGGGAATCCAAATAGAGTATAGCATGTGCAAATGCCCTTAGTGTGAAAAAGCAGGGGGTGCTCAGTATCGATAAAGTATAAGGAAGGCATTGGGAACATGGTGTGAGTATGCTGTTGAGGAGGAGCCACATAACATAGTAAATATAGGTTTTCCATGAGATTGCACTCATAATTCTTAAAAAAAAAAAAAAAACTTGGCCAAAGAATTGTACAACAAATGGAATCATAACATATATAAGAGGGGACCCCAAAAGACCCAGAACTTATTTATAAAAATGTTCTGTATTTATTCTTACATGCTTAAACTCCAGTCACCTTCCAAGTACTCACCATTTGATGCAATATACCTATTGAGACATTTTCTCCACTGCTCAAAACAGTTTGACTTGTCAATTTTGATGCTTTTTAGTGTTTCTGCCATTTTTTTTGTTTCACCTCTTCCACATCAGCAAAACATTTGCCTTTGAAGATGTTTTTTCACTGGGAAATTTAAAAAAAATGGTTACTCTGGGTGAGATCGAGTGAATAGGGAGGATGGAACACAGGGGTCATGCCGTTTTTCATCAAAAACGGCTGAACACTCACCATGGTGTGGGCATGAGCACTCATAAATTACCCATCATGAAAAGGGCAAACACATTGAAAGAGTCTTCAAAAAATATTCACTGAAGCAGAATGCAGCCTGTCACAACAATGCCAGCTGGTACACTGATACAGATGGGTTCCTAGAACACTCACCTAGCCAGGGAAGCCTGTACTACAAGAGGCCCACTCTTCAGAAGATAATTAGTTTTTTCTTTGGGTCCCCCTCATATCTCATGAGTTGTATAATTAATTTTATTCATGATTATGTCTTCAACAATTAGAAAATTATTTTCCTTCAACATGTGAGGATGTGGATGAAATCATATGTATATGCTCCATGGCCCTGCCCAGCTGTGAGAGCCATTTGGCTCCATCTTTATGAACAAAATTATCCAAAATCAAGGCTGGAGAGATAAGCAGGGTCCAGGCTGTGAAATGACTATGATGTTACCATAAATAGCTTTGATTTTATAGACAATAGATATGAAAGGATTTTAAACAATGGAGGGATTATACTTAGATTTTAGTTTTAGTAAGGTCACCTTGAAGGCAAGGGATGGAAGGCAAGGAAATCACTGAGGCTTCTATTGCAACAGTAAAAATAACTATGAGAACCTCAACTAAGGTAGTGCCAATTAAGGATGGAAAGAATAGGATTGGTGACATAATTCAGAGACAATGTTTACAATTGATTAGGCATGAAGGTGAACAAAAAGAGGAAGAAATTAAGGGTAATTTGGAAGTTTCTAATGTAAAGACTAATCATTTTTTCTTTTAATGAGAGAGGTAATACAAAAAGAAGACTGCATTTAGAAATGGAGATAATTACTTCAGTTTGGTAATGAAGGTGCCTGTGGGCTATTTAAATGGAGACATCAAAAGGTTAGATGAACACATGGGTGTAGAGCCCAAATAGAGCAACCTGGGTTAGAGATATTCATTTGAGACTTGTCATAGAAGATGACAACATAAATTAAGGCTTTAGCAGCCAACATAGAAAAGAAGAATGGCCCTGGCTGGCATAGCTCAGTGGATTGAGCTCGGGCTGTGAACCAAAGTGTCACAGGTTCGATTCCCAGTCAGGGTACATGCCTGGGTTGCAGGCCATGACCCCCAGCAACCACACATTGATGTTTCTCTCTCTCTCTCTTTCTCCCTCCCTTCCCTCTCTAAAAAATAAATCAATAAAATCTTTAAAAAAAAACTAAAAAAGGAAAGAAAAGAAGGACTTTGAAAACTATAAGAATTTTGAATCAACACAACTTGGTGACTTATTGGACAAAGGGAATGTGGAAAAGAATGGGGAGTCTAAAACAAACCTCAGGTTTCTCATTTTGGAGCCTTGGGTGGGTGATTGTTCCACTGTTATGGGCTAAATTGTACACCCCCCAACAATTTCATAAGTTAAAGCCTTAGTACCCATTATCTAAAAATGTGACTGTATTTGGAGACAGGGCCTTTAAAGAGGTAATTAAAAAAAACTAAGGGTTTATGAATGGACTGTAATCCAATATGACTAGTGTCCTTATAAGAAGGAGAATTAGAACATAGACATGCATAGAGGAAGAATGTCATGTGAAAATGAAAAAGGCCATCTACAAGGCAAGGGTGGAGGCCTCAGAAGAAACCAACTCTGTTGACACTTTGATCTTGGACTTCCTAAGCTGTGAAATATAAATTTCTGTTGTTTATACTACCCTAGTGTGTGGTACTTTGTTATGCAGCTTTAGTAAACTAATATAGCCACCAACCAAGATTAGGAATATAGGAAAGAAAGTAGGGTGGGAGAAAGGGTTATTGAAAATAAGAAGTTTGACACAGGACATATTTGTTGCATTTGAGATTTTTGAGGCACACCCAGGTAGAGATATTCAAATGACTTTGAAATTCAAGAGATAAAATGGGCTGCTAAACACAGATTTGGAAATAATTGATACATAAGTGATATTTTAAACTATAAGAGTGACTGAGATCATCTAAGAAGTGTATAAGATCATCAAGGATAGAACCACAATGAATATCAACATTAAGGAACAGATTATGGAAGAGAACCTAGGAAAGGAAAATAATCTGAGAAATAGGATAAAAGAGAGAGAAAACTTATATTTAATCTTTTTAAGACTGTTTTTAAATATAATTAGTTGAGTACATATTGATTTCAGTCCTCAAAGAGCTTTAACATAGTGGAGGAAATAATATCTTATTCATTTCTGACTCTCCAATGACAAGCACAGTTCCTGACATTTAATATCCCTGCAATAAATATTTACTAAATTGAATGGAATTGAAATCAGGATATCATTACTCTTCTTGTTTTGTTTGCTTAGTTCTGGAGTATGCAGAATATATTGCCACTGATATTTTAAGCTCATAGTGAAAAATTATTTCAACATGTCCTAGACTTGGTCCCCTTCCAAACCAACCCCTAGAACAATAGTTTTCATTATACCTCCTATCTTTGCCATTCTGGATTGAATTGTGTGCACAGAAGTTATATACATATGTGGGGATTTCCATGTAACAAATTGCAGCACAGGAGCCCCCTAGGCTCCCTCAGGCTCTGGTATGACATATTTGAGCCATATAAATTCAGCTTCTTCTCTGGCATCAGTTAGCCGACTCACTTGCAACTCCACCTCAGCAGTGGTCTCAGTTCTCTCAAAGCCGGGAAAGTGTACTGTGTGCTGAGAGACTATGGCCAAGAATCTTCCAGAGAACTGTGAGGACTGTCACATTCTAAATGTAAGTTGATTAATATTTATTCCATTTTGAGCAGAAGTATGGCTGCAGAGGTTATTTATCATATAGCAATGTGAACATTAGAAAGTGCAATCAAAGGTGACTTTGAATTATGGCTTGCTATTCTAAGGATTATTGTGTATTGTTTTATTTTCTCTGTTCTTTGTTTAGGCAGAAGCTTTTAAACCCAAGAAGATATGTAAATCACTTAAGATTTGTGGATTGGTTTTTGGTATCCTGGTCTTAACCCTAATTGTTCTGTTTTGTGGGGGCAAGCACTTCTGGCCAGAGACACCCCAAAAAGTAAGTAAATGGACATTGTAGTCCAATGCTTCTCTGTTTTGAATTTGATTGAATTTAATGACATATATATTAGTCTGAAAATGAAAATCATTAAGTCTCTTTTGTGTTTATTTTCTGGTGGTATGAAAGACTGAATTGAAGATTTTGCTCTCTTTTACTTGCCTAATTATTTTGGTAAAGGAAAAATGTGTTTTCTGGATTTTAGCTAGTAATTACAGAATGTAGAATTTCTCATTCTTTTGTAATGCTTTGCTTTAAGGAGTTAAGACTCTTCCTAGGAGCAAATTTTTACTGTAAAAAGAAAATACTTTTCATCTTTCTTTCAATTGCCTGGGCAGAAACTTATGGAAAAGCAATTATACCACCACATAAGAAGAAACCACCAGAAATGGCAGCAAAGAATTTTCAGGGATTATGTTTCTGAATTACTGCATCTGCTGTGAGGACAGGCACCAAACTCCTTTTCAGAAGGAGCAATTCTCATATCTGAGTTCACATTTATTTACAGCTTAAGAAAAATTAACTAGAGCTTTTCAGCTTCTAAACAGCCACAATTGTCATTATGTCACTGAGAGAGTAATGCCACAAGGTAGAAACAAGTAATAAATTACAGGTATCTCAGAAAGCTTCTGATATTAGGGTCATTTGGTAAAGCTTGGCTGGCCATTGTAGTTGGTATTAGTTTACCCTAGTGTTATTGTTACTTCCAGGCTCACAAGCAATGGACAAGTCTAGATGTGATTTTTTAAAAAAAATCATAGTCCCTTCATGTCAACAATTTTCATTTGAAAGAGAATTAATAAGTGTACAAGCTACAAGGTGTCAAGATGGTTTTCTGGTTTTGCCACATTTTTCCTTCTGTGTGTGGGTTGCTGTTGTTACTATTGTTATTAATTTATTGTCATGAGATTCTCATTTGTATTTGATAACAGATGTAGGAAGGGAAAAGCACAAGTGCGACAGGGAGGATGAAAGGCAAGAAGAAAATGGGCTGGCATGGACCAGTAGGAGCCAAAGGAGCAAGAGGAGCAAAGAGGAAAGATTATGGATTTATGCAGAAAGAAAGTTAGTGGGGGAGAAAATGGAAAATCAATTGAACAAGTGTCCAAAAGAAAACAGAGAAATAAGGCAAAGCCACACCTTGGATTTTTCATCTCTGCTGCCATACTCACTTTCATTTAGTTTCAGAGGCTACCTTATTTTAAGGAGGGAGAATAAATAGTGAAACAGCCTACTTTGTTCCAGAAAAGATTTCAGGCATCACCCAATGCCTATAGATAGCTTTCTAAATAGATAATGATGATGATGATAGATAGATAGATAGATAGATAGATAGATAGATAATCACTCTTCCCTGCTTCTGAACTATTTACTGTTCATGTGTCTTTCTAGAGAAGCCACATATATATTAAGGCTAGCAAGGTACACAAAGTAATAGAGATCAGGAAGAAAATAGCAAATGAATAAGCGTGCCAAAATGCATTCCAATCCAATTCTGCTACCACTTAGCTAATTCACAATGTGATATGCTGCCCCACAAATTGAATCTCAATCCTCTTGACAATTACAGATGAGTTAGAAGACAATAAATCCTTTTGTTCTCCACGTTCATATGTACTTAACTAAGTGTTGTAGAGAGCTAGCCCTTTGGACCACCCATGCATGCTTACCTAAACATGGGGCCAGATCACCTTTCTTGTTTTATTGTATCCATTGATACTGTCAATGCTATTCTGAAAGAGTTTAGGTGTTTTTCTAAACCTACATGCTATTTGCCTTAGGGCAACTATAAATGACTAAGCAGGGGCCTTGCTTTTATTTTGCCAGGTGCCAAACTCACTAACAGTGCCCATGGACCCCTCCGCTTCAGTATTATACCATATTTGCTTCTCACTCTAGTTCTCTTTTTTGACGGATTAGAAGAACCAATCCCGTAATACTTCAAACCAAAAGTAAAACTTAGTGCATGCTTAGAAGAGGTGGGTTACAGTCCTAAATGAAGTTTATCAGGAATCATATCTCTTGTGAAGTAATCCATCTATGATTTAATATATATGGTCTAATTATTGGCTAATACTAACAATAAGCCTTCCTCGGAGATGACTTATGAATCCTAAGAAGAACAGAGCAGTCAATGGAAGGAGATTTAGTCTTGGGAGGAGATTTGCAGAGGAAAAAGATTTGGTCATTTTGCACAAGTTAAAGAACCTGTACCCTTAAAATCATGACCTAGCAGGAACTAACAGTTAGCAGATTAAAACCCAAGCTCTTCTGGACTTTCCTTTACAACCCTGAAGGATCTATGAGTACTGTGGGGTCCTTGGTGGAAAGAACTATTGATGCTGTTGTGCTTATAGATGGCAGTGACTTATTTGCTGTCCTGGGGCTTTCTGCAAGCTCTTAGCGTTTGCTCCTCTAACCTCTACCACACCTCCCTTTTATTTTATTTTTCAATATTTGTTTATAAACAGTGTTTATTTAATATCCCACATCTGATGTTGACATTTCCATGCCAGTAAGGCCTCCCCTCTTTCCATTCTTTCTTGCTTTGGTGAACAAAAATATCCAAATTCTTGATCCCAAATGGGGATAAAGCCATACTTGACTGCCTCCCTCTCTCTATGCACCTCAATCATGAACATATGTGCATGTGAATGCACAAACGTGTCAAAGAGAAAGGGATCAAAATAAGGTGAAACAAGGAAGAATAAATCTGGGTGCACTGTTGCACTCACCTGTGGACTAACAAGCCCGTTAGACTATAGCCACATACAGAAGCCACTTGAGGTGAATGAAAGCCAATCCATCAATCTCTTGTTTTCAGCTTTCTTAACCAAAGATAGGAACTATTCTGACACAGAGATTTTGAGAGAGCATTACAATAAGGCTTCACTTCCAGGCAATGATTGCACAGGAACTTTGGAGCATATTCTCTGGTCAAACATTCTTGCTTAAAGCTCCCTGTATTGCACATTCAAGTTGAAACAATTAGAAGCCAACTCCCCAGTTAATTAATCCAACAACAGAAAAAAACTTAGAAAAACTCCAGCCCTTGAACTGAAAGATTTTAGGTATAACACAGACCTTGTAGCCTATCCCCTCCAATCTTTTCTAGAATGAATCAGAATAATAATAAATTAAATTAATTACATGTTGTTCTCCTTGCCATATCTAGGAACTTTCTTGTGACTTTAGGGCTATTTGGAAACCATAACTTCTAAGGCACACACAACAATCAGCAAATTCCTGGGGACTTCCCCTCAACTTCTACGTACCATCAACATAAGATGAGATGTAATAGAAATAGATGGTCATCCTTCTGTAGTCCCCACCACCTCAGCTGCAGAAAACCATGAAAACAGTCTCACTTAGGATTGTGAGCCCAATATCATTCTAGAATGAAAATCATCTTCTCAGAATAAGCACCTTCTGGCTAAGTCTGGGTCTAAATAAGTAATCTGTGCCTACTTATCTAATACTTATATGGACAGAGACCAACTTTATTCACTCTTCTTTGAGACACACAGGATATGTGACTTTCCTTCCTGAGTTTTCTGGGCTCTCCTACACAGTATTTTGGTAGGTACAATGTGGGTCTGGAGAAGCATTCATACCTTCAAGGAAAAAGTTGGAGTTTTAGTTGGAATCTCCTCAACAGGTCAACTTGTGCCATGTGATCATTTTAAAAAAGAAGACTTCTCTGAATTGTATCTTCCTCCTAATCCATTGTGACAAAAAGCCAACTTTTCAATCAAAACTCTCATTGGGCCAGATTTTGCTCTAGAATAAGCATGGCCTCTCCAATTATGTATATCAGGACTCTGGCTACTAGGTGCACATTCTTTTTTTTTTTAAGATTTTATTTTTACTTATTTTCGGAGAGCAAAGGAGGGAGGGAGGGGAAAGAAAGGGAGGGAAACGTCAGTGTGTGATTGCCTCTCGCATGTCTCCTACTGGTGACCTGGACCACAACTCAGGCACATGCCCTGACTGGGAATTGAACTGATAACCCTTTGGTTCACAGGCCGGCACTCACTCAATCCACTGAGCCACACTAGCTAGGGCTAATGGCACATTCTTATTCAGTTCCTTCATTCTTCTAAGGCAGCATATGCTAAGCAACCTATTTGGCACCAGCAAGGAAAGCCTGGGTCATCAGTGGGAGCTGTCCTTTAGTAGCTGAAAGTGGAATTGGAGCTGTAAGGGGAAAGCAACCCAAGTGATCAACAGGTAGTGTTAGTTCACTGGTCAATCTGACAATGTATCAGCCCACATCTGAGCAGAATTGATTTTGTCAGCAATTAAACATTGTATCTGGTGGGGGGGGGGGCAGGTAAAAATGACAACTGAGCCTCCAGAGACATTTGGTGACTTTCCCAAAGTCACATAGCTTATAAGTGGCAAAGCTAAGGCTAGGAGTAGAATCTAGTCTGAGAATTCCTTCAACTATTTTTCAACTAAGTTTCAGAATAATGGGTAGGTGGGGGGAGAGAGTGAATAGGGGAAATTTTCCCAGCCAGCTTGAGTCTATGGATGAAAGAAATGGTATTTTTCTTGTTGAAAAAGAGGAATGTCTGCGCTGCTTATGCCAATTTTTTTCAGGGCTGAAAACTGGTGATTGAAGATGCAGAAGTCCAACTTTGCATAAGAAACAATCTGTCTGCTCTATGTTGGTAAAGAAATACCCAGAGGCCCTTTAATTCCCACAGGCTATGTTGGTAATAATATAGTATAATGCATTCCCTTCTCTTTCTTCCAGTTTAACACTTGCTAGCCAGCAATTCTGAGCATGTACTTCACCTTTGGAGAGTGTACCTCATAAACAGACAGTAAAGGATGAAGATGGAGAGTAAAACAGCTAGATTAATCACAGATTCCAAAAACACAAACCTAAGACAAATGCCCTCAAATCCCTTTCAAGACAGGATAAACTTATTTGCCCCTACACCCCCAAACAGCTCCATCTCACTGAGGTCTGAGGCAGATTTACTCTTTTTTTTTTACCAGGATGATATTATTTTAATTGGAACAAGTATGTGACTTCACATCACTTTAGCTTTATAGTGGAGAAGCTAGTTCAAAATCATTTAGCATTGACACAAAGATATTCATATTGGCAGACAGCATCCATGGGAAACTACTGGGGAGGCTGCTCACCATGTAGACCCACATGAGCAGAAGGTCTGATTCAAAGTATAACAGGAGTCCATGGAAAGTTTTATGGCAGAAATAATAACATTTAGGTGTTTTCTTTTTTAATATAGTTTATTGATTATGCTATTACATTTGTCCCATTTGCTCCCCATTATTACCTTCCGCCCTGTACACTGCCTCCCACCCACATTCCCCCCTTTTAGTTCATGTGCATGGGTCATACTCTTGACAAAAAGCTTTCTTTTCTGTCCTCAAAAGTTGTCATAAATTGAGGCAAGAAAACTGGGCAAACTGTGAAAGGGGGATGTTAGGGCTCATTTTCAGCCTGAGTAGAAGACTTCACTAGTCCAAGGAAAGAATTCCTGGGCAAGGAAGCAAAACAAGTTTGTGTTTTCTCCATGTTTTGTCAATGTGAACTTCTTACATCTCTCACTGCCTGGTGCTTAAACACATATCTATCTCATTTCACTTCTGAGTCATATTTCACTCCATTGCTCTCCTGTCCCACTCCAGTGGGCTAGCCTTTGTAGTTAAAACCAGCCTTATGTGTGGCTGGGAATATGTCCTGGCCCCTCAAATATCACCTATTTCTGGTGCTATTGTACTTAACATCCACCATTGTTAATTCAGTCTTTAAAAAAAAGGATTGTATTTATTTTCAGATAGAGGGGAAGGGAGGGAGAAAATGAGAGAGAGAAACATCAATGTGTGTTTGCCTCTTGTGTGCCCCCTACTGGGTACCTGGACTGCAACCCAGGCATGTGCCCTGACTGAGAATCGAACTGATGACCCTTTGGTTCACAGGCTAGCACTCAATCCACTGAGCCACACCAGCTACAACATAATTCAGTCTTTTGAGTATTGCACTGAATTATTTTAATAGACAAACACCTATAGCTAACATCTTAGTGTGAAATCATTTGTAAGATTGATTTTTTATTTAACATAAGCTATTTGAAGCACCACAAGATTCATAGGTGTCTAAACAGGAGACAAAGGGTTAGAAGGAAATTGGAAAAGGAGAAAGGACTAAGAGGATATAAAGTAAACACAATATGAAAAGAACAGAAAAGGGAAGCTAGAAGCCTTCCTGGATTAAGTTTTTCAATGTGCCAATTTGACAGAAGTGTTTGTCCTTGCTCTGTCCTTTCTGGAATAAAGCTGAGTTGGGGGCACTCTGAGATGAAATACTGGGAGCCCATTCACGCCTCTCTTAGGCCAGCCACTTTGTCTCTAGTTTATGCCTGAAAAAGACAAAACTACTTATTCTTTCATCTCCAGAGAGACCCTCAGCCCTTGAGCCAATGAACTTAGTAGAGAGAAAATTACTTCTGAGGCCAAAGGCATGAGCTCAGTCTTCATATTGGCCAGTGAAGCTTGTATAACCATTATCCAGGCAATGTGCTCCACAGGGACCCAGGCGAGACAGTATGTCTGGATTTGCTCAAACTCATCCCCAAACAGTTTAAAGTGAGACACCATCATCCTCTTCCTAGACAAAAGACAGTCTGTTTCAAATGGACACCTTTGATAGTGGAATTCCATCTGGGTGAATATATAGCTCATCACCCTACCCTTACCCGCCACCCAGAATTCACACATAAATGAAACCATTCTGATCCTACTCTATTTAGCAACCTACCATTGCTAACCAAAAAGCCAACAAGCTGGTCAATAAATACAATCAGAATGGACCCCTTCTCCTCCATCAAAACTTAACAAAACTTTGAAAGAATGTTGAAAATAATCAAGATCTGCTGAGCTTGGCAGTTTCCAATAGTTTTCATCTAGCAAGGTGTCCAAGTGAAGCACATTGCCAACAACACAGGAAAACTCATTCCACAAAAGTACACTGAAATTCTAAATGTCACCGGTGTGATTCCATAGTTTTCTGTGAGTGATTGAAAATACAGTCTGTATTTTCTCTTTTGCCTGGGTAGGCAGCCTTCCAACATCTCCTGGTCTCTAACCTCATTTTTCCATGCAATAGTCCATCAGTGGTGCTACTGATGAAACAAACACCCCACCCCACCCCCAATGACTAGTGGTGTCAACATTTGTCTCAACAATTGATAGTATTTCTATAGACATTGTCCTCTGCTGGGAGATCTGACAAGACTGGACTTAAGTGGATGCATCATAGGTCAGGTCAACTGAGAGCTCAATTTGTTTCCATAAGTAGAAGTTTCCCAAGCTGCCTGCAGAGCTGTAACTGAAAACATATTTATAACTAGAAGCAAATAACAAGCCCAAAGGAATTAGCTACCTGTTACAAACCAGGCTACACTTCCTGAGTTAACCCTGCAATTGCTGGAAGGTTCTAAATACTCTTTTCCTTTCCCTTTTAAAATACAGTCTCTTAGAAAACCTTGCCAATGCTCAAAATCTCTCTTTAAGAAGATGTGAAATCACCATTGGTGGGAAAAGCTTATTGAACAAATACTTAAGTACTGGCCATATTCAAGGCACTGTAAGTTTACTAAAAGGCAAAGGACATTGTTTTTTGTTCTATTCAGCAACTACACAGATATTTCATGTTTGAAGTACCATTGTTTCTACAAAACCTTCCAACTTGTTTTTCTACTTGAGTTGGAGACAATTTGAACAAGTTAAACTAACATTCAGTCACAGACACTGGCAGACATCAAAAAACAACCTCAACTAGTGGAAGCTCTAAAAACCTGCCACTGGGAATTGTATCATTAAAAAGCAACATTGGTTCTGTAGATGGCTTCTTTTTCAGGCTTTTAGTTTACCAAATTGTTTTGGTAACAAGAAATGAGCACAAAGAAACTTGATAGCTGAAAGCCTCCTAACAAGACAGAATTCCACATGGCACCATCAGGTCTGGCTTGGTTTGGGATAGGGAACAAACATGTTTAGGCTTGTTATTTGCTTTTGGTTATAAAAACGTTCTCAGTTATAACTAATGGACTTGCTGCTAAACTTGGACACTCTGTAAGACTCATCTTTTTCATCCTTAGAAAGAGAATTGCCTCTTTTAGAGGGCAGGAGAAAGTCCAGGGTTTCATTTCAACCACTCAAGTATGACCTGATAAACACCCTTTCCAAGGCACTCTCTTTGGTAAACTCCATGTTACTTATTGCAAGGCACTTGATACAATTGTTGAATTCTACATATAGGAGAATCTGGAGAACTTGAAACCAACTAAATCAGGTTTGGAAAACTGAATTCAAGAATAAACTGAGGGGGGTTGGTTAGGCCATAAAAGAGAAGGTTAGGGGAAGGTGATAAATGTTTTCTGGAGTTTAAAGGGAAAAATGAAGTAATTGAGACCAGGGTAACATTATTACTTAAAATTGGCCAAAGAGTGAATGTGTTCAAATCTTTGTATCAAACCTAATGAATTTCATGGGGAGTGAGGGGGGTGACCATTGAGTGCTTAGAAAGTGCTTAGTTTAAAGAAACAGCATAGGTTTGAGATGATTCCTCTGCTCAACACAGGGTAAGTACTTTACAGGTTGTTTTGCAAAATATCATTTGCTATTTAGTCAATGCTACCAAGAAAACTGTTGGAATTCTTAGTAAGTAGTTCAGCAACTTGGCTTGAATACAAAATATGGGCTCCAAATAGATCCCCATATCAGCTCCAGCACCAAAAATCATCTCACTTGAGTCTCAGAAAAATCACAGTGGCAAGCTACTGAAATGGCACCTGGCTACAGATTGTGGCAAGAAAATGCACCCCAGATATTACTCAATTAAAGTGTCATATGAATGGACACACTGAGTATCTTAGAACTCGTTTCCTTGTTTTCCAGACATATGACATGGAGCACACATTCTACAGCAATGGAGAAAAGAAGAAGATTTACATGGAAATTGACCCTGTGACCAGAACCGAAATATTCAGAAGTGGAAATGGCACTGATGAAACATTGGAAGTACATGACTTTAAAAATGTAAGTTGGATACTTCTCCGCAAAGGCTTCTCACTTAAAATATTACAACATTTTAGTTGAGTTAAAAATAGCCTGTAGCCTTCATTTAATTTATAAGACAAAGTTTTCCCTTTGAATTCAAATTTTGCCAGCCTAGGGCCCTGACAGACCATGGAACTCATTAATTCCAGCTCTTTCAGGAGGTTTTTTCTTTTTGTTTTACAGGGATACACTGGCATCTACTTTGTAGGTCTTCAAAAATGCTTTATCAAAACTCAGATCAAAGTGATTCCTGAATTTTCTGAACCAGAGGAAGAAATAGATGAGGTATGTATGAATAATAGTGGCAGTAAAAGCCATCATTTATTGGGTGCTCACTATGTGTCAGACATTGCACTAAATGCTTTACTTTCATTTGATTCTCACTTGGAACCTACAGATAGGTGCTACTGTTATCCTCATTTTCAGAGGAGGAAACTGGGACTCAGAACTGAAAAGTGACTTTCCGAAGGTCACACAGATAGTGAGTAGCAGATTGCAATATTGAACTCAGACCTTTCAAAAAATAAGTTCATGCTTTTAGGTGCAACACTGTACCTGTGTGGCCATTAATATTATATACCTTTGCTCCCAAACCAAAGATTTCTAGTAAAAGGGGTGAGCAGGAGGACAAAATCAATCCTGCCCAAGATAAAGACCTAAAAAGAAAAGTTCCAAGGCCACGCGGTATCCTTGCCATTTTTGTCACACTATCACTTACCTATTTCAAAGATTTCATTCAGTTCATTCACCTTTCCATTTTTTGCTGGGATGCTAAGGGAACAATCTACATTTAATCACTAAGAAAGGCAAAAGCAAAGAAGGTAAGAACCACAGTGTAATACAATTTATCTGAAAACACACTGCTAGGCCAGGGAACTGGTGAGATTATTATGTAGCCCATGAAGGCCTAGTGGGAAATGAAGGATTATTGCCTAAAATACAGCCATCTGTAAAGCCCTTGAGGCTCTAAATTTTTCCTCTATATTCTGTTTGTAATTACACTAAGTTGCTTTAGTAGAGGAAGAAGGGGAACATGAGCTAAGGCCATATTTTGACAGCATACCCCTACTGTAGCCAGGAAGAAACAAATGTGTGTTTGGTTAGATTGGTTTTGTTTTAGAGTTTAACTGGTAAATCTAAAGTGAGATTATGGCAATGGTACACTGGTCTCTCTGTATACTGTAAATACCTCTTTCTCTTTCTTCTCTTTCTCCCTCGTTCTTCAATTTTCTCCTTCCCACTTTCTCCATCTTAGTGCTCATCTACCTATTCATCTTTTCTTTTCTTTTTTCTTATTTTTTGGAGTGAGATGAGGTGGGAAGTATTTTTTCCTTTCCCTTACCCAAGTCTCAGAGCTGTCATCAGCTCCCATAGACATGCTACTGCTCTCTTCATGGCCACAGAAATTATAGACACTTAGTACTAGAACATCTAAGGAAAAAGATTTCTTAAGGTATATGGTAGTAAACAAAAATTGTATATTTTTTTAAATAAGCAGAAGTTAGATGCATCTGAGGAACAGAACAACTTCCAGGATATTAGAAATACTATAGGAAGTAAGGGTAAGATGAAAGAAGAATGAATAGTATAAAAAGTTCCTAAACCCAATGTCATATGGTGCTTTTACAGAAAATAATATAAGCTTTTGTGTAGTGCCAGCCAGCAATTAGAGTCAAAACTGACACAACAGGATTTATTTTTCTGAAATAAATAAGTAAATAAAGGTAAAGACCCATAATGGCTCATTTTGGCCCTAATTTATCCTTCAGTAAATTTTTCTGAATCTTTTAAATAACACAACTATTCATTTCATTATAGCAAGATTACTTATCTTCAAGAAAAACCTATTTTTTATATTCAGGCTACAGATATTTTATGAGATAAATTCATGGTCCTGAATGACAAAGACTCTCTTATTCTATGTTTCCCTCACCTCTGTATCCATAGTTTTTGCATGTTAAACATGCAGAGCAGGTATAAAAAATAGTGCTGATTTTGATAACAAAGTTAGTCAGCATGCCAATCTCCTTTTGTACAGTCCCTTTCAATGCCTCCCAAGATTTTTATAGATAAAGGGCAAAGGAACTAAGACTTTAGAGTTTTAAATGACTAAGGAAAAATTATACAAAACCATATTTCACAGAATAAATAAAAAAGCTAAAATCATAAAGCTAAAACAAAAGAGAAAGGGGAAAGCCTTATAAGGGGGGGGAATGTTGGAGTCAAAAGACAAATGAGTATGAATGAGGTATTGTTGACGTAAGACACATCCAAACCAATAAGAAATTTTATGAGTTTATTTGAGCCATACTGACAACAATTGCCAGGAAGCAAAATCTCAATGGATTGAGAAAATGCTCCAGAGAATGGCAGTTTATCACCTTATTTTATATATTATGATCAAAGGAGGAAGCCTAAGGGGTTATATGAAATCCATTGGTGATAGATCAGGGAGGCAGGAGGAAGCAAAGGGAGATTTCTGGGACTGGCTAAAAAGTAAAACGTATAGGCACATACTTCTTTTACTTTGGTGGGTAAAGGATAGTTAACAGTTAAAAATTAACATAATAATAAAAAATGAGGGGTTTTGTGGCCTCTGCCTTGTTGGGAGATTGTGTCCTGAGGAGTGTGTAAAAAGAAAATTACCCTGACATTCCAAAGGTATGTTATCATAGGTGCAAAAAGACAATAGATGGCCTTAGTTAAGGTAAAGACTGACCTTTGTTAGGGACGATACCAGCCTGGGACATGTCTACCCACCATGACTTGCTTTTGGTTAGAAAGTTTTATGCTCAGACCTATGTGGCTCTTTTTGGTCTCTGGTCTCTTTTGGTTAATAAGGCTTCCATGCAGGCCTCACCTGAGCTTGTCACATTTAGTATTTGACTCTTTTTCATCCACAGTATACAAAACAACTACTTCCAGTACTAGAAACTGAGGAGAAGGTGGCATTCTTGACAATATAAGAAAGGCTACCTAAAGAAAAAAAAACTCTGAGACAAACTCTAAGCATCTAGAATGAAAGGAGTTCTTTAGTGGTAAGGTCAATCAAGCCACAAGCTGGAGACTTGACTTTAAAATAAAAAGGACATCTTTTGCCCTCCTCCTAGCTACCATTAATAGGAAAATCCTATAAAACTAAAATATTACATTTGGTTGCTATTTCACTGATCTCACCAGTTTAAACTGTAGCAGTTTTTTTTTCCAGTTTCAGATCAAATCCTGCTTGCAACCCTAGTTGAAAACAAACAAACAAAAAAAAATGTCAGGCACTTAAGACATCCATTGAAAAGAGAGAAAACAAATGCAAATCACTTAGGATTTCAGAAACCCACATTTAAAAATGCATGGCCCAGTGGGTGGTCCAGATATTGATGGAAAGCCTTCCCACATTTAAGTGAAATGGTAGCAGAGAAGGCTCCTATTTCAGTGAGCAACCTTACCGTTAGAAAGAAGGATTGGTTGTTAACTCTCCCAAGGGGCACCTACTATATGCAAAGCACAGAGCTACTTCACTGGCAGCCTTGGGACTGAATTGTTATTCAGACTCAAAATATAGCATTGTTTCAGTATTCCATAATGTCTCACTCATTTTATTAATTTCTCTGCCTATCCCCACTCTAAACTACTTCCTCCTCTCAGAATGAAGAAATTACCACAACTTTCTTTGAACAGTCAGTGATTTGGGTCCCAGCAGAAAAGCCTATTGAAAACCGAGACTTTCTTAAAAATTCCAGAATTCTGGAGATTTGTGATAATGTGACCATGTATTGGATCAATCCCACTCTAATAGCAGGTATGGCCTTTTCTTCCTCCTCTTCCTCCTCTCCTTCTTCCTTTTCTTTTCTCCTTCTTTTTCCAAAATCAGTAACAGGTTAATGTTCCCAGCATTTAAAGACTACTTTTCTATGAAAACAAGGGATCTGCTTATATCTTCTTAGATGAAACTGTATATGCTGACTGCCAGTGAACATTTTTCACAACCAAGCTATAAATCAGATAAATTAATGCTGACAGGCTTTTAAATATCCCAAAAAAATGTTACACCACCTTAATGTGACCAGTGATAGCAAAAAGTTAATCTTTCTTTGCATATCTATGTTCATTGCCCTTGGGATACCAGACTATTTCTCAAACTACTCACTATGTGCTCAACTCAAGACCAGAGGAGAGAAGAGCCAAAAAATGCTCTGTTGTCTCAAGAATGATTTTCTATGCCAAATGGTGGCATTCTCCCTAGATGATAAGACAGCCACTGCAATACAAATGTCTTTGTGGCTGTTTTAGGAATCACTATAAAAGTAATTGAGGGCTAGAAGTCCAGAGTAGAATAGTCCAACTCTCAACTTTCAGTCAGTCCACAGGGAACACAAAGGTCTTTGGACATCTTTTTCTGCTTGACTAACATAGGACTTAGTCTCTCTCATTCTGGGCAGCATAGATTACTATATTACCTAAGAAGGGCCACTGTAACCAGTGCAGGCATCTATTGGTACTCTGACACCTTAAAAAAGGCAAATAAATGCACTGTAGTATCCTGGATTGGATGCTAGAACTTCTGCTTCAGCATTGTTTTTCTAAAAGACATTAGTGGAAATAATGATGAACACTGAACAAAGTCTGTAGTTTAGCTAATAGTATTGTACCAATACAAATATCTTAGTTTTGATCATTGTATTATGGTTATTTAAGATTAGGAGAAAATAGAATTCTGTACTGGTCTTTGCAACTCTTCTGTGAATCTAAGATTATTTCTGAATAGAAAGTTTAAGACAGGAAAGAGAAGGGAAGAGGGAGGACAACAGAGAGTACCAACTAAAATCAGACAACATAACAAAATTTCATCTACCATGGGTGAAATCCTTGTAGAAGACACGAAGGTTCCCTGTCCTCAATTTCTAATTTAGTATGCAAATGAAGCAAAGCAGTAAGTATTTGATGTCAAATGAGCAAAGAATAGGTCTGTTCACATGGGAATAGTCATATTTGTTTTGGAAAATCTCCTTAGAATATCAGCTGTAAGAGCTTGGAAAAGTGATTCATGCATGCTTACATGGTGACAGTGAGAGACACAAGGATAATGTCCAGCTCCATATGCTATCTTCCCTGTCACTTCTTTCAGAAACATTTGCAAAGCAGTTGTATCTCAACTTTGTATTTATTACCTTAGTTTCAGAATTACAAGATTTTGAAGAGGATGGTGAAGATCTTCACTTTCCTACCACTGAAAAAAAGGGCATTGAACAAAATGAGCAGTGGGTTGTCCCTCAAGTGAAGGTGGAGAAGACACGTCACACCAGACAAGCAAGTGAAGAAGAACTGACAGTAAATGACTACGTGAGTTATGTTTCTGTTTTCTTGTTAGAGGAAAAACAAAGCCCTCAAAAATCTCACTATCCCTCAGATCAAAGTCATTGAAAGGAGAATGATAAATTTTAACAAAAAAAAATATTCAAGAAACTTGAAATCCCCAGGAGACTCATTTAAAATCAGCCTTGATCTCTATTGAGGTAGCTCCATGGTTAGGCTAAGGAACTTAATTTCTCAACAGTCCCCAATTCATATAGTCTTACAGTCCTCCCCTGTTTGGTGGACCTCTTCCTAGTGAAATTTCCCTTCCAACACTGACTCCTTCTTTTTTTCAGACTGAAAATGGAATAGAATTTGACCCCATGCTGGATGAGAGAGGTTATTGCTGTATTTACTGCCGTCGAGGCAACCGCTACTGTCGCCGTGTCTGTGAACCTTTACTAGGTTACTACCCATATCCATACTGCTACCAAGGAGGGCGGGTTATCTGTCGTGTTATCATGCCTTGCAATTGGTGGGTGGCCCGTATGCTGGGGAGGGTCTAGTAGCAAGTTTGAGCTCATTGCTTAAACTTCAGACAGCCAACATATAATAAATGCATGCTATTCAATAAATCTCTGCCTATGAGGCATTTGCCTCCTGGTAGTCAGCACCCCAGAATTACTTGTCGGTAATTCCTCTCTCATGTTTTAATAAACTTCTATATCATCATCAATGGCCTGATTGCTGCTGAACACACTGAGTAAGTGTTTGCTAAGAATATTTTCTGCAACTGAGATAGAGCACATCTGTTTAACATGGAGGAAAACAATGGAAACTTGCATTTCATCATGTTTCAGGAGTAAGAAAGTGCAAAGCATAAGAATTCTCAAATGCCATATTTTACACTGCTCTATTGAGAAAGTGGAAATTAGAGGCTAATGATAAAAATGTCCCTGTAACTAATGTATAAAAAGTGTCCTTTTATGCATAACCCCGGTATTTAAATACATGAAAGACATATTGTGGACCCACTCAAGCATCTATTAATCCTCTAAACAGAGAATGGGTCACAGCGGGTCAACACTAAAATATTCCAAGTGCTCAGACACAGCAAAGGAGAATGCTAACCTAGCAAAAAAAAAAAAAAAGTCCCAGGCTCTCCTGTGAATAGGAGCTCCACTTGGGACAAATTTAACACTTCATAACCTTTAAGCCTGACCTGACTTTAGATTAGTGTCTGGTTATAAAACTTTCCAAGGAAATTGTCTGGAAAATGTAGATTCATAAATATCATTCAAAGAAACAGGCATTATAGGAAATTACTGAGGTGAAGAGTCAAATGAGACTTTTTCCCCCTCCAAAACCATAAGGAACTAGCAATATGCCACTTTCTTAAAAAGAAGGGTAAGGCTTAATTCCTGATCACCTGATACTTTGCTGGGGAAAGGGAAAATGAGCAAAGGGGAGAGGAAAATAAGTGGTTAAAGAGTAATGTTAACCTTGATGTCCCAGCTAGTTCTAGTTCCAAAATTCCTATTTGACCAATCTCTCACCCCTTCCAGTTTCATTTGAAGGTGGCCCCTTCATTTCTGAACTTCAGTTTATTGTGTTAGGACAGTATCTGTCTGAATCTTTACATCAGAAAAGCATTTTCAAAGAATAAAATCTTCACCAAGATGCGTATGGAGCAGGAGTCATTTACCCCCATTTAACTGAGGAAGCAAATAGAACTGATTTGTCAAGGATGTCCTATTTTGCCAAATAAAACAAGGATGTGTTAAGATTAGCCAATCATTAATTGATAATTAGCATACATGCTATAGGTGAATTACCAATTTTCACAGAATGACAACACAATAAAACATAACTGACTATGCAACATCATTGAAAATATTTTCTTATTATTAATGATTTAGAAGACATCTGAGAATTTTGGAGTACTTCAATGATCATAGCAGGCATTAACTTAGAGTTGAAATAGAAAAATGTAAAATATATGAAACTAATTTGAGGTTGTGTGAAGTTTATGGTGTTCTCTATCATTGTTTATTAATTAATTATTCATTTTTAACACTGATTTTTAAGATGAGCCAATAATTTAAAATTCTTGACATACTTAAATTTATACAGTTTACATTGTACTATATACATTGTACTATGCTTTGTGGGGATACAAATGAAATAGAAGGCATACTATTTATTTCCTAAGAAAAATAAAACATCCAAAATATATGAAGTTTGTCCAGAAAGTATCCAGCCACGTGCTATGAAAAATAGAGACATGTATTGAAGAAGATACAGGACACAAGAAACATTGTATATAGGACAATGATGCCCCTCCAAAGTAGGCACCTTGGACCTCACACAGTTCTCCCAATCACCATCATCTGCCCTGTCATATTTTCCTGAATCTCATTGACAGTCTGAAATCTCTTCCCTTTCAAAGGTAATTTTAGTTTTGGGAAAAGCCAGAAGTTTCAGGGCACCAAACCTGGGTTACAAAAGGGGCTGAGTCACCTGAGTGATTTGATGGTTCACCAAAAACCTCTGCACAAGGTGTAATACATGAGCAGGCACGATGTTATGATGAAGCTGTCAATCACCAGCTGTCCATAGCTGTGGTTTTCTGAATCATTCAAATCATTTCTGCAGATGAATGTTCAAGCTTAACGCAAAATTTGTTCCACATTCATTGCTTTACTTACTCATTTTGAATGGGAAGGCCACACAGTACACATGCTCACTCAACAGTGTGTACCACCCTCACTGACTAGTACAGTGAAATCATCATTGTTTACACATGTGCATTCCAGTCTACTGTCCTTGACTGCCAGGTTACATCGGTGTCATGTAAGCTGTTCTCATTATATTAACAATGGTTGGACTTTTTCCAGACCAACCTCCTATAAGCTCAAGTGAAGAAAGTTACACATAACATCTAACTAAAGTTGTGTATGGCATGATGTATATATCATGCACACACTCACACACACACACGAGTTATAGGAGTTTCCATGTCACATTTTAGGGCTAGGAGTTCCTAGTAACATTTTTAATCAGGAAATATTTCTTGTTCAAATGAGATACCTCAACTGCCACATAATATCATATTGGGAAAGTATGATCCCCTTAATTAGGCAGACCAAGAGTTCAAAAGAAAATACAAGGACATGCTTAAAGAAGCATTCAAGTCATCTCAAGCTTTAGGAAAAAAAATCAAAACAGCAAACAAACCCAAACATATTAGTCTGTCACTTCATTATAGGCCCAAACCAAGTTGGAGGAAGTGTGATATTGTTCACCTGTTGTAGATTTTTGACTGTCGAGTCCTGTGCAGCATCCTTACATAAGCCCTTGCACTCCCTTCAAGCTAACCCCACTGAAGCTAGAGTTGTCTCTCTTACTTCCACCAGTCTCTCTTACTTCCACCACCATTCCCTTAACCAAGCCTCCTCATCACAAGGAGTGACACCAAAGTAACTTTGACCTCCTAAGCCAGAGACATTACAGTAATTCTAAGGTATCTCTGTCCTCTGCTCTTCTCATGCCAAATGCTTTCAGCTTATTCTCCTAAACCACTCTTCAATTATGCTTATGATCCAGGCCACAGGTTATTTCTTAGCACATCTGTTACAACCCCCTCTCTGCTGAAGTGTCCAGGCTGTAGACTGAAAATACAATGAATGTTTTAACATAAAGTTTATTTTTCACTTATAGATTTTATAAATGCAATTTCTTTTCCTGAAAGTCTGTAATAGCTACTCACTACATTAAGAATCAGGTCTATCTTGCAAACAGTCCTTCTTCAAACCACCTTTAACCACCATCTCATATCCCTTTTTTCCTCCTATTACACTACCCACTCCCTTTGCTTATCTCAGGGACCTTAGCTTCACACTCTATTTGTGTAGTCATTCCATCTCATTTACAGACTTTTCTCTCACTAATTTGAAGAGGTTAAAAGATTTCATTTTCCTCTTACCTAAAATGAAACAGAAACCCTCTCTATTTCATTCCCTGCTTGTATAATACATCACTCAATGCACTTATAATTTATATGAGTTTATTTGCAAATCCTAAAAGAGAGCCCATACACTCTCCCTTTTGCTCTGTCCAGTACCTAGCACAGTAACAAAAGCATATAAGTAGCCTTTAATTTTTCTAGTAAAGGCAATGAGAAAGAAGAAAGGGAAGAAGGTAGAGGGAATATAGGTGATTGTAAAAGAGCACATCTACAAGTCTTTTCAGAATATTAAAAAGTGGGCTTTGAGCTCTATTGAAATTTGAGATGAAAGTTCTTATCTTACTTATCTTATTTATTTTGGTATTCCTTACCTTTTACACAGTCCATTTCTACTAGTATGAATAGTTCCTCTAATCCAGCAATTTTCAACATTTTTCATCTATAGCACACATAAACTAATTACTAAAACTCTACAGCATACAAAAAAATATGTTTTGCTGACCTAACAAAAGAAAATAGGTATAATTTCAATTCACAACAGATAGATGTTGTGTTGGCTGTTGCCATTTTTTTTATTTGACTCTAAGGAAAAGAATGTCAGTACTGCTCTCTAAATAATCAAGTATTGCATGTTTTAAAAATTCTGGTGGCATACTGTTGTGGAAAATCCACCCACACGCGGGGAGATAATGAAGCACAGACTTTATTACCCGGGGGCCCAGAGGGGGTGGCTAACATCGAAATCCTCTGAGCACCGATCCTCACTCTCCCGGGGTTTAAATAGTCCCGGGCTTCCTACCTACGTGGCGAAGCAAGGTAACAGAAGCCGAATGCGGAAATTAGGTCCAGCTACCTTATATGGGAGACAAAGAGAAAACGCAGGAGGAATTTGCAGAAGCTACAGAGCACAGGAGCTTATCATGGGAGTCTGCATACGACCTTGAGTAACTGGCCGTTGCTTTGGTTACGACTTGTCAGCTTCTACAGTCCTGTGTGAAACTTTGCAAGTGTTACAGTTACAGAGCATAAGAAACCTTTGGAGTTTTCTTTTCCTGCCACAATACCAGTGTGCCACAGCACACCTGTTGAAAATCGCTGCTTTAATCCCAGAATGATCAAAAGCAGAAATGATTGCCCACAGCTCAATTATCTATTTCCATTATACAAATGCAGACTTTTTGCATTTTCATCAATTTTAAATGATTTCACATTCAAAAAAGAAAAAAGTAAACACCACATCTTCCATGAAATCACAAGAAATATATTACCTTTCAGATTCTTTGGGGTTCTAAATTCCAATAGACAAAAGTCAGGCAAGGCAAAGCCGTCCATTGTTCCCACTCAGCATAAGAGTACTATGCATTAGTGTGCTCAGTTCCTTTCTTGCACACTTGAAATGGCTCTTTGGCTGGACTAGGGACAAAAGAAATCTACTTTGATTCTTTATATATAAAGCTCACTGTCTGGTTAAGTCCAAAACTGCCACTGTGGATCCTAAAATCTAATGCTGAAAGCTTACTGAGATAAATATGGACCTTCTCATTCAGGCTTTCAGGAAATATGTGTATCTATTTTATTTATACCCTTAAAAATGATTTT